TCCAAAAAAAGAAGGCTCCTTGTACTATGACACAGCTCAGAAGAAAAATGTAAGGAGAATTTGAAGGGTCTTTTATAAAATTATGTAAATGGCTACAAGTTCTGAAGTATTTTCTGAAAAAAGGCAACCACTGCCTTCACTTCTGAAGTATGACACACAGCTTGGATAACTGTGTACAAGAAGAACAAGATGCAGGGGAAGCAGGGAAAACAGATAGTGAATGGAAGAGAGGACTAGGAGAACTCTTCTCACTGAAATTAGCTAAGCCTCGGTTTCCTCAGAAGGGTAAACTTGAATACGCAGGTCAGCAAAGAACGATAGGAACCATTTAAACCCAGGCACAAGTACGTATTAAAATCTCACTAATATGTTAAGGTCAGAAAGCCTAAAGCTTCACACTGGCACTGTTCTGGAACAGCCTTTAACACAGTAGACAGAACAAATACAGTGAAGCCCACAGCCAAGGTTCAGAGGGCAGATGCCCCATGGCTGCAGGACACTGGATTTGCTGATCCCAAGTGCCAGCCGTGTTTCAGCATCACAGAAGGAATTCTCCACAGCCCAATGCTGCATTGGGTGGGGACACAGCAGCTAACCAGGCAGAGTACTGGAAACAGCACTGCGCTGTCCTAGGCAGCGGACATCTGACACTGCCTTTCCAATCCCTGGATTACTTCTCCACCCTAATGACCCAGGATCCTACCAGCTGCATGTTGAAAGCCAGCCTGATGAATCAGGAACACTTCACATTCAAGAGCTACATGGTTAAGATCTCCTCCCTCTAAAGCAGCTGAGTACAAGTTGCCCATTTTCACAGAGCTAGTGGCTGTTCCTGACACCGTACAACAGGCAGAGCATCTCCTGCTCTTATAAAGCTCTAAGCACCCTCCACATCCAGCAGCCTACGTGAAAGCTGAACTGTGTAAGCAGCTCACCCCCAGCAACAACAGCTTGAAGCAAGTCCAGAGGACTGAACAGGAACCAGCCTTAGGGCTAACACATTGTCACAGAGTATTTTTGGATTTTGGGGGGTAAGGGGTACACAAAAAATAGGACAGGCACATCAGAAACACCAATGCATAACACTTCTTTTTAGTTCTCTTCAAAACATCTATGGGAGAGTAGCAAGAGCCAGTTATTTATTCCTCCCTCCATCTCAAAATCATCACAAGTAAACAGTCTCTAAATCCCAAGTTAATGTTGAAGTGGGCCAAGCTGGAGCTTACTGAGCTGCAGGGAGTGGGTAGCATTGAGCTTAAACTGTTTACCTGATGAGCTTGGATGCAGCAAGGGCAGTAGGGGGGGGGCAGGTCTAAGAGCTGAAAGGCTTCTACTGACTTGTGGGTTGGAACACAGGTACATCAAGAAGCAGCTGTTACTGCTGCATCTGGGCAGCCTTGGAAGGTAACATAGTGATATCTGCCCTACATGTCAGAAGAGGTTAATCTTAGCATGGTTTGATGAACGCTGACATCTTCCCATTCTCTATCCCATGTGCCTTGCTCAATCACCACCTCCAGCCATTTCAGCTGAATTTTTGCTGTCCAGGCAGGGTGGTTGCACACAAGAAAACCAAACCTTGAGTCTGCATTGACAGATACAGACCCACCCTCACGAACAGCCACGGGCAATGGTGCTGTAAGCTGTTCACACTGAACTGGCCCATGACCCAGGCTGTGATAGGTGAGGGATCATTCTTGGCAGCAGGTTGTTCTGTACTAACTGCTGGTTTAGGATTAGCATGTAAGGATGACGTGACCTTCAAGGTCCTCATAGGAAGCGCACTAACGTACCTTCTGCTTAGCCTCAGTGCATCCCTGCATCACATCCCGTATGGAACAGTGACAGGAGCTGCTTGAGGAGCAGCCAAGAGGAGCCAGCTGCTGTCACGCTCTGTCCACCAGGTTTCAACTAAACACTGCAGAGATCTTGCAGAAGAGAAAATGTCGCAGGCTACCTGCCACTTTGGAAAGTTATACCTGCCAAATGTTGCCATGCTTAAGGAGTGTAGCCATCTCCACCATACCTACCATGATGGATGTTATGGCAAAGGAACAGTTTCTTTTAAAAGAGCTACTTTTCAAAATGTGTTAGGAGGCTTACACAGTGGTCCTGAGTAGGCAAGCTGAACTAGATTATATCTCTTCAGACCCTAGAAGCCCTACAAAGATAGCTGCAGTGTTTAGCTTGCTAGAGAGACACCCAAATTCTGGGCACAGGAATAAAATATGTAATTAAGTCTCCTAGACAAGTAAGCCTCATTCTCTGCTGTGTCCTGTCCCCATATCCTATAATCCCTTTATTGATTTCTCTGGCTAGGAAGGGCAAGTAGAACCAGTTTCACCAGAGTCAAGGTAGGATATTCATTGCCCAGCTAATCTCTCCAGAGTCCACTACAGAGGAGGTTAAGCTCATCTAGAGCCATTTTCAAAGCACCTCATGTTTGTCTGTGCAATTTGATTTTTAAAACAGCTTTGCATCCAAGCCAGGTAGGTGAATATACTGATGCAATTAACTGCAGGCAGTTTGGCACAGATGGTCCCCAAGAAACAGAGCTAGCTGAACAGCAGGGATTTATATTTAATGATGAGCCAGGCCCTCAGTGAGGCAAGTCAGCAAGACCCCACCGAAGGCAGCGGAGACCAGCCGAGCTCACTCAGCTCCTTGCACTTCTTCCACTGGTGAGCAAGGCACAGCCTCCCCACAAAGGGCCAGGATCCCTTGTTAGGGACTCCAGCATATGCCTGCAACCACAGTGATGTCCAACCTTGCATCCCTCCACCCCCCAAGAGCTTGAGCACCCTGGACTGGAGCTCAGCATAGCTTTATAGAAAAGCACTTCCAAACATCTTGTATCTGGCACTATCTGGATATTCTGAGAGTAAGCACTAGGAACTGTAGTTTTGGGGGAACAGAAACCAAGCTTCCAAATGCCACTCCACCATGAGGATGTGGTACCCCGTAATTGCCATTACACAGAGAAAAAGATATTAGAAAGCAGAGTCACAGCTCAAAAGCTTCCTTTGTGCTTAACTGGGGCAGTAGCATCCCCAGGTAGAAAGCCTATCCCCAAGTGGAATTTGTCCCATTTTACAAGATGTGGATTGGTGATCCCGAACACCAGCAAAAAGTCTGGCTCACTGCACTAAGGTCTAGGTTGATCAGAAGAGATTTAGACCACAAAAGCTGTGCCAGTTGTCAAAACCACGCAGCACACCAGAGCACACCATGTCCCTTGGATGACAGGCACCTGCAGAGCCATACACCAGAGCCAAGAAACCCACAACCTTCTAGTTGAGTCATCATCATTTAGGAAAGCTGGTCCTAGCTACAGCCCACATTTGCCCTTAGAGGAGCTCAGAGCATATTCAAGAGCAGAGAAAATAAGCCTGTGGTTGCATAAGAGAGCTCAGTAGGAACCCAAGAAAGTTGCAGCAGTCCTATGTCAGAGCAGAAAGATGATTTTTTTTTTTAAAATGCCTGTGCAGAAAGTCTCATTAAATAGGAAGAGACCAATGCTCAGTTGAAACAGAAATCCCTCTTATCTTCCTGTGCAGAAAACCAGGCTTCTAAAGGAGATCCCAGAGGGCTCAGTTTAGCCTCGTGAATCACACCGCTCTCGCTAAGCGGAGACCTTATTTCCCAGCCTGAAAGATCAGGTTTCCCCCCACAAATGCCCTTCTTCCCCTGCTGCCACTCTCCCATCATCAGCACCACATCCTTGCATTGCCAGACACATGCAAGATTCATCCTGGGAAGGGGTGAGGGCTGTAGCTGGAGGCCCAGAGAGCTCATGGCAGGCTTCAAAACAAGCCTGACAGAGGGCAGGAGCTGCAGCACCTTGCACATGCAGCGGGGAGGACTCCCAGCTTCTGCTGCCCTCTAAACTTAACAGGAGTGAGAGTTATTGCTTCGTGCAGAGAAAAGATGCTGATTAGCTGTTGTCTATGGCACCCCACCTCTAATCAAAAGAAAAATACCATCTGGCATGACACCCCTGGAGGGCTGCCAACCTTTGCAGTAAAATACGAAGGCAAGAGAAGGTCAAGATAAAGTGAGGGGAGCAAGACAAGCAGAAAGATTAATCCCTGCCAGGTGGTGTCAGTCCAGACACTGGAGTACAAAAGTGGATGGATGAGCAAGCACTGAAGAGTTTAAGTAGGAGAAAGAGCAAGAAGCAGAAGCAAAACAATTCTCTGCAGGAAAATCATGGATGAGATATCAGATCTGAGCTGCAGACCAGCTCCAGAGTAGGATCCACTTCACCTAAGCCTCTCTTGATGGGTGTTTGCCCAGGCAGAATTTACATCACTGAGTTTCAACTGTCTAAAGACCATCAGGGAGCAGAGACTCCAAGACTGGCAGTGGGCAAAAGCAGTTTAAGAGAAGGGAGCCCAGGGGGTGAGGCAAGGCTGGAGGAGCCAGTGATGGGAGAACAGCTCAGCAGGTAGCATTGAGTTGGAAGACCATTTCAAAGGAGATGCACCCTTTGCCTCTCCCAGCAGTGTCACACAGGGCATCACTTGTCCTGGCAAGGTTTCAGCCAGCTGGACCCTGAGGTAGCCATCTCACACTGAACACCCCCCTGCATTGCACGCAGTGAGGATTTCAGCAGTAGGGTGGCAAGGGCTCTCCAGCTGTCTGAACACGTTCCCATGAGTGTTACCTGGTACAGAGGCTCTGCAATCAATGCACACGCCAGCAGTTACAAGTGCACAGAGCCTCTACTGCAACAGCAATACCGCCGCTGCTCCCTCTCCAAGGGAAAACCCCAACCTTCCCACCACAGCCACTTGAATTTCAAGCACCTTCCATGACACTGTTCACTGCTTGCTTTCTGTACCTCCTGGAAAGGGACAGGTTGTTCAACAACTTTATTAGCAACGGTAACATATGCACATAGCTGAGTGCCAAACAGTCAAATTGGGGAGCTCAGTGTCAAGGCAAGTGTGCCACTCCACATGAAACTGCCCGCCTCTTAGCCCTGGGATCAGTGGTACCTTCTGACTCCAGGCGGTCCAGCCCATAGGTCACAGCTGTACTGATCTTCCTCACAGATGGAAGAGCTGTCCTCCTGACAGAAGATGCCATTGATGCTGGAGTCACCAGGACCACAGTTCTGCTGGATGTCTCCTCTGCCTGTTCAGACTGGGTAGCAGACAATCCACCAGGAGCTGGAACAGCCTTCTCACTGGTGACCAGGACCACATCCGTGAGGTCTACAGAAGACATGAAGCAGCAGCAGTTTGACACAGCAATATTTAAAAACCCACCATTTAAGAACAAACTCCTTAATGAAAACTTAACTCAGAGTGGAAGAAGTTAAACTCTTGCCTCTTTCAAGATGTGTGACTCTGCTGTAATGAAAGCTCCTCCTCCAGGACAGCCATCACAGGAGGTTCCCCTTAATGAAAACTCAGCTAGGTTCTACTTCCATTGCTTTGAGGACTGCTAGTCACCACCCCACAGCAACACTGGAGCACTGAGACACTGGTTGGGATCTGAACCAAGTGACACATCTAATTGTTTATTGCAAAGATAAAGATTAGTTGAATTTATAATTAAATCCCAGAAGCAAATTAATTAGTGGAAACTGCCAGAAGAGCCTTCTCTCCCCTACAAAGGGACCTTAATTTAAGAGATACAATGCAAATAGGTTTTTTTTATGCCCTGCAATGTAAGAATTGCCAGAAAAGCTGCCCAGCAGCAGTTTCATTACAGTGGTACCTACTACTACAGAAATACACTCAAGCTCAAGGTCAGCCTTGCTACACTCCTGTCAAGATGACAGGCTCCTACATGTACCTGCCAAGGTGACATTGAGCCAGTAGGCAGCAGCTAGATGAACACGACTGCTTTCTGTATGGGCTACATCAACCCAAGCAGCAAGAACTCACCATTCCTCAATGGAAGTGATTATCAATGCAGGCTTCCACACCCAAGGGATTGCCAGACTCTTGCAAGAAGACCACACAGACCACACAGTGCCCCCGCCACACACCTTACACTGCTCCCATGTTACCCCAACGAAAATTTTTGGTCCTTCACACTGAGTATCAGCAACCTGTGACTGCCTTTGGCTCCAGCATAAGAGCTCTCCCTCCATAAAAACAAACTGACTTAAATGTCTTAAAAGTCAACTTGCTAGCAAGGATGAATGTGGGGGTTTTGTTTGTTTTGGGGTGGTTTAGTTTTTTAAATCTCTGCTCCACTGTTATGTGGGGGGAAAAAAACATATGCTGGCATATTTTAACATGGTGGATCTGGTAGCACAGGCAGAAAGCAGTGGCAGCCCAGGGCTAGAGGCAGCCTGCAGAAGGCTAGAAAAAAGTCACTTAGAATATGGATGCTGGGTGTTGAGACTTCAGTGTCCAAGCATTGATACTAGTTTCAGATGTACCATCTCATCTTGTGTGGAAATGAACCCGCAGCCCTTGAAGCAGAACCCTACCTTCTACATCTGGAGCGTTCGCCATAGAGGAAGTACCAGCTGCCACCAGCATCTGGGTGGCACTAGGAGCAGTCGGCACCTGGGTGTCCTCCCCGCTGTTTTCCTGCGGAAGGCTCGCACCTCCTGTTCCCTGGGTAGCACCAGGCACCAGTGTCACAACTGACAGAGCAGCATCAGCCTCCTGGGCAACTGTTGTCACCTCCTGAGCAACACCTACAGCAAGAAGACGCATCAGTACCAACTCACAGGACAGCCAACAGCAACAGAGCAGATGCTTGAAGTAATATAACTCCACGCATTAGCATTTCCAGAGCCACAGTGCAGGCAGCAGGTCCGGCCAAGTATCATCAGAGCAGTGCAGCATAAAGACAGATGTGAGAATGTGCATCACAGGAACGAAAGCAGCAGAATCAGTCCTTATTTTCTTAGTTGTCCCTTAGGGAAAAGCAGACCCACAGCGGAGCAGTGCCATGGGAGCACAGCACTGCAGGCCTGTGGTGTGAAATACCATTCAAAGCAAGTGATGCTGCCAGAGCAGTGCTTTCAGTGACCGGCTCTCACAGCTACGAGACTTCAGCTTTGTAGAAGGCTTTATTTTTGTTGCACAAGTCTTATTGATAGTGTTGTTTCCCCAACATCTGGGAAACAGCAGAGAGGGAACCTGCTGACAAGTCAAGTGCTTATAAATTAATCTAGAAATTAATCAGTGAAGTTTCAGCACCAGCATGCAATTAGCTTTCCTTCTGTTATAGCAAAAGCTAGATCTTTTGGATGCAGTGAGGGGAAGTCATCCTTTTGCCACTGCAGCTCAAGGGAGAAGATTAAAGATGCCCAGCAATTAAAACAAAGTCCTAAACCCAGCTCATGTTTGTCATTAGCCTAGGAACATGTCATTGCCCAACACCTGACCAGAACTTTTCCCCCCACATTTCTACCAGTTTTTAAAATACCGAGTGGAAACATTATCAGTGGGCTGAAGGTGCCATCTCTGCAGGTAAGTACAGCACAGGGTGACACCATCAGCCTGCGGCAGGCTGTCTAGGAGGAAGATTTCTGCCTGCTGGTAACAGAGCTGGCACAAACACCGGACAGTCAGAGCCTGGCCACAGCTTCACTCTCAGGTGGGGAGACAACACCAGAAGCTTTTGTTACAAAGGACAACAGAGCTCTGGACAGATCTTTTGATCTGAGCATCTTTGTAAAGTCACAGAAGATGGCAGTTACTCACAGGCTACCGGGACAGCTCGCCTATTCCTGGATTTAGGAAGCATTTACAGCCATCCATTGTCTCTGCCTCTTCTGCACTGACTGCAAGTGACCATAGCTAGCAGTTGAGAGCCAGGTGATCCCAGATGCTAATTCATTGAACCCCCCAGAAATCATTCCCCCCTCCATTTTGCAGGGCTTCAGAGTGAGCTAGTACAAGGACCACCTTTGTGTCCTTGCACTTGCCATATCAAAGGGACACTTGGGGGACTGTTACCCTCCTTGAAATAAAGTGTTTAACCCGTTGGTCAGGGGCTGGGCTCCCTCCCTAGTCACAGAAGAGGCATACCAGAGGGTTATTCAAAGCAGATTTACATATCTCTGGTCAAGGCAAGATGCCTACAACCAGACTACAGCTGCCCCCCGCAACTGCTATATGAGCACCAAAGCTGAAGCCCCTGCTTTGGTAGTACACCACACACGCAGAACAAAGCAAGTTTTTTATCTAGCACCAAGTCTCTGCTGATGAGACTCCAATTCTCTACAGAGACCTCCATACCCAACCCCAGGCTCAGCTGCGACAGCCTTTCCAGTCTCAGCTTTCCTCTTTGCTACTACAGCCACCTTCCCTCAGCTTGAGGAGCAGAAGAGGCAGCTCAATACAGCTGCTTCACGTAACAGTCAGGACAGGGTACCACCCAACAGACTGTGCCTACCTGTACACAGGGACATCGTATAGAGGAACAGCCAAGGGTAGGCAGTACTTCATGGATGTGAATTACCTGTTTAGCTTGTTACCCCTCCACAAAGGTCCATAGCCTTTCCTGGGGGGAAGAGGTGTCCTACCTCTATTGCAGGTATCACGATTACACCTTTCTCCACTTTATCTCCCTGAAAGGAAGCATCGATTCCCAAGAGCATCCCTCCTAAACTTACACTTAGAGGCAAGTGTCTGTAACAGGCAAGTTTTACCTTTCCACGAGCTTTCCAGAGTAGCAGAGAGATCAGTCTGTGTATCTGTCACCACAGCAGCCTCCGCCTGTGATGGTGGGATGCTTTTCCCCTCCTCTGCTGTGACTGCATTTATGTTTTCCAGCGAGTTGAGATCAGCCACGTCTACACCCGTCAGGTTCGCAGTGTGGAAAACATCACCGCTGCTTGTGGAAGCTGCTGGCAACTCCTCTCCTTGCACGGGTGCTGTGCAGTTGGTCTCCTTGGCAAGCTCAGGAGTTGGTGGAGGGGACGCCGGGGATGGCAGCGCTCTTGTTGCATCCTCTTCCTCCCCACCACCTTCCTGTGGGGTCTGGGATGGTTCTGTTGCCCCCAGGTCCTCGGTCACCTCCTCTTGAGACATGCTTCCCCCTTGATTTATGTCCCCCAGTTTTGTGTCATCCCAGTCAGGTGGCACAGTGTCCACAGGATGGATGGTGACAGTGCCAGGTGTGGTGGGCAGCTCTCCTCGCTCGACACCCGTCCCTGCTTCCAGGCGGAGGGGAGCCTCTGTCACCAGGAGGGGACGTTTTGCAGCCACAGATGCTCGCACAGCCAGGGACTTCAGAGGGCTCCCTGTATGGGCTCTTGGCATTCCCACCTCAGAGGTCATGCCAGGAGCCTGGGGAGTCAGGATGACAGGGTGGTCGCTTGCTGTCTCCCAGCTGGGAGAGCTGGGGTACAGTGTGGGCTGGGGTGCAGCTGAGGGGTGCGAGTTGCTCTCTGCCTCCTCCTCCTCCACAGCTGTCCCAGAAAGGGGGTTTGCTGAGAGGCTGGCAGAGCTGTGCTCTACTCGAACACCACCTTCTGTGGTGGTCTCACTAATGGGGCCACCAACAGACTCCTCCTGGACAGCAGGGTTCAGCGTGGTCACAGCTGTGGTCAGCATGGCCTTGAACGCATCATCCTCATCCAGCTCCGACTTTGTGGGACCAAGCTCCTCCTCATCTATGGCAGGCCCGTGCGCCAGCCACTGCCACAGCAGAGGTGTGAGCACCCAGGCCCTGGCTGCCTGGGATGACATGGCTTGGGCTTACAGGCAGTGTTTCTCTTTCTGCAGTGAAAGCTTCATTTAAGGGTGTCTCAGATGGCTTTGCTGACACTCCACATGGCTCTTCAGAGACAGTCTGCTCAGAAGGGCCCAGGTTATTTTTCAAGTTCAGCACACAGCCACTGCCACAGCAGAGGTGTGAGCACCCAGGCCCTGGCTGCCTGGGATGACATGGCTTGGGCTTACAGGCAGTGTTTCTCTTTCTGCAGTGAAAGCTTCATTTAAGGGTGTCTCAGATGGCTTTGCTGACACTCCACATGGCTCTTCAGAGACAGTCTGCTCAGAAGGGCCCAGGTTATTTTTCAAGTTCAGCACACCTGTCCTTTCATCTTCTACCCCATTCCCTGCCCAGGGGCCATGCTGGACCTTTGTCATGTCCCTCTCCTCCAGCGGCTGAGATGCAAGGCATGGTGGACTGGAGGACAAGAACAGGAAGCTGCAGGTGACCACACAGATGTTAAATCCTATTGATCTACTCATAGCTGAGAAGAGATGTGCCCAGAAGCCTGCCAGGCTAACAAGTCCAGAGTGCAAGACCTAGAAAGGGAAAAAGGAACCAAGATTACACATACCCATAGCCACCTATTGACCCACAGCCTTAAATAACTGGGTGACAAGTTCCAAGCATGCTAGTCTATGGCCAGTTCTGAGCAGACCCCTCCTACACATCCCAAGCAATGGATCCCTCCATCTATTTTACTGTTCCTAGCCTACCCAATCTGAAGTCTCATGCCAGACAAAACCAATCTTGATCTGAAGCCCAAGACAGACCTTGCCAAGCTCTTGCTTGAGTGGTAGAGTGCTATGCTCTACCCAGCAGGCACCAGGCTTGCAAGCATACCATGAGGATCAACCTGTCTGTCCAGGACTGATGCTTGTCAGGGCCAATCAGACAAGTCTCAGGCCTGTTATGGCAAGCCCTGCTCTGTGCACTGACACAGAAGGAAACCAAGGAACTTGTACAGAGAACAAGGAGGGTCTATAGGGTGCAACACAGGACCAGAACCAAAACAGGAGGCTTTAGGGCTGCATTCGTGTCATGTCCTGTATGAACTCCTGGGCCCCATGGAGAAAGGCTGCAGCCCAGACAGCAGCACTGCTGCGTTAGCACAGTGTTTTTGCTGCACTGCACCACGGAGGCACTTCCAGAAAGTTTCGCGTGTATAATCATTGTGTGCTTCCAGAGTTTCCAAGACAGCACTAAACCAGTAGCCCAGCAGCGATCCAGCCAGCTGACGGCCTGCTCTTGGCAGGCTCTGTTGCCTCCACAGCTCAGGCTGCCAGACAGATGGAGGACCTCGCAGCAGCGGCCTGCTCCCAGCCACCTCCCCCCAGGCCGACGCCTCTCAGTCCTGGGCTTGCTGCACCATCACTCAACAGCAGAAGATCATCCCATCCAAGGCCCCACTCATCACATGCGGGACAGCTGGTCACACAAGTCTCATACACACAGCAAACAGCCCTCCATCACACAGCAGATCCAGTAGGGTCCTCCTCCCAGTGCCAGGAGGCAGCTTGTCAGTGGCACAGTCAAGCCCTACTACAAGAAGCCTCCAACCATCAACAGCTTCACTTGCTTTGGCTGATACGTTCTCAGTTTCACAAATGAACTGCTCTTGCCTTCAAGCCACAGGACTAATGAATGTTAGTAAGGAAAGAGGTTGAGTTGTCAGAACCACCCCTCAGTCTTCCAAAGAAGAACAAAGATCACCCTCTGCAGTCATGCTCATGGACACCAGGATGAGTCCCCCAGCTTGCTAGACTCCTCATTTCCCCACCCAGACAGCATGTAGATAAATATTACTTGCATTTGTACACACACAGTACAGCAGCAAGCCACCTGTACTGCTTTGTTACAGAAGGGTGTATCATTCCTCCACGTCTTCTCGTGCACCCGTGTGATGCTGTGTGAGCGGTCACCGCTGTTGTGGGGAGAGGGATCTCAGTAACACCACGTTTGTGCTAGTCCATCTAGCTCAAAGGCCCTCCGCGTCCTGCTGCTCATGTACATTTGTCTCCTTTTGGAAAGCATTATCGTATGTGTCCAGTCAGCTAAACACAACCAAGACATCAGAAAGCTTATATTATATCTGGTCTGGTCACACAGAGCTATGTGTATTTCCATCGTAAAACATACCTCTTATTCCACGCAGGAGAGATAGACTTCTCTAGCTGAAGACCCTTATGATCGGCAGGGCTGTCTGTAGCACAGAGACAACCTCAGAATTACCAGCTTAGAGAGAGACAGGTCAGAATCAACCACTCCAGGCTCCATTATCTGGTTGAGCCTCCAGAGCACACCAAGTCACTTTTTCCACTCTCCCTGCATGGAATAATTCCCTGTCACAGGCCACACACATGCACCAGGTGCTCAGGGACAAACAGAAGCTGTTCACCAGCAACAGCATAGATACCTTCCACTTTATTTTTAGCATCTCCTTTCTCTGGAGGATGGGTGGCCACCCATCTATCTCCTCTACCCTCCCTGCCAAAAAAATAGTTGAAAACATACAGTATTCAGCTGTTCTTCCAGGCTAACCCTCTATGCGCTTTTGTAATTAAAAGACACTGGAAGCGTATTACGCAAGTTAAATTGATAGTGCCCAGTGACATGCATCTGCCTTGCCAGGCTGATAAATATAAATTACGTCCACCTCACACCCCTTTAGCAAGTGCCAGTTAAGATCAGACATACTGAAACATGAAGAGGTTTGTTTTTTTAAATAAAGAACAGATTGGATCTAAATACAGTTTCTGTAGAAGTCAGGAGTCTTTTTAGGCTACGCAAGTAGTTTTAGCAGTGGTTAAACCTAAACAGAACTCCAGCTGCACTTGAAAGACAGCCACAGCATTTCTCTTGCAGTCATCTACATTATGCATATGTACATACACATATGTATATGCATTCATAGGTTTCTAGCTCTACGTTCTCAAATAGCCTAAGACATTCAGGAGGTGGTTAGCAGAAGTACTGAAACATTAATCTCTCTCTTCCCAACAAGCTGACTCCATCTTTACTAGGATCAGGAGTGTCAGTGAATAAGAGGGATAGCTGCTCCCTAAAAGGCTGGCTTCTAGAGATCCATTAATTAAAACACACAAAAAAGTATTAAGAGCCTTTCCTTCTGGCTAGTAGATAATGTGAGCAGTCAGCACTAGCCTGATACAAGAGTTCCCGGGGTACTTTGGGCAGCCTCATACTCTTTCCTTTGAAAAGTACTGTTGGCCACAGTCCTACATTTGTAAAGGGTGAAAATAATGTTGGAGAGTTATTTGCTCAGGAAATCCATAACAACTAGATCTAAGCTAACCTAGACCTCTACATTCAACGAACGCTGGAGACAGTGGCAAGGAGCTTGCTGCAGGATAATGGCACAAGTTCACGCTTCAAAGAAGATTAGCCAGAGCTTAAGATCTACTTAGCTTTAGGAAGAGGCTGGATTAGACAGTGTACGAACAGCAGCGACCTGGCTATCTTCTTAAGCAGAGTTTGACACCTTGCTGCAGCACTTCCACTTAATGCAAAAGCGATCCAGGTTTTAGCAGGTAGCTGGCTGCAGAGCAGTTTGTTACTGAAACTGCATTGGGCTATACATTTATCCTCCCATCTGGCTATTTTTATAGTCAGTCTGCTCCACAGCCTTAGCCAAGCAATAAAAGCAAGCTGGAGCATGCTGCTCTAACCAAGCACCTCCTCTGTAGTAAACTTAAGCTTTTTTGTAACTAGTTTGAAGCTGTAGAATAACTCAGTATTTCATGCCACAGGAACTCCTTGTCCCCAGATTTCACCTGGCATTCTCCAAGTCGAAGCCCTGAGGACAGCTGCCAAGCACTGGCCAGGCTCTCGGCAGAAAACTAATCCTTGCTTCAAATAGGAAGCACACACAGAGGGCAAGAGACAACACCAGCTACTTCCCCAATACTTAATAACAACAGATCCCAAGAGATGCAGTTCCCCCAGCTGCAAAGGCAGCACAACTGCAGACAGCCAAGGAGCTTTAGCATGGAAAAAAGTAGTTTTCTTTTAACACCTGGTAGCTTGGAAAGAAGCACAAAGGACAGCAAGGCTAAAAGCAGGTGCCAAAACCAGGCATCTCCAGAATAAGAACCATCTACTACAGTGGGCAAGTCACGAAGCTGAGGGACAATAAAGGCAAACTGGCCACCAGCTGAAGCAGTCTTGCAGACCCAGTTAGATCTTTCTGAACCAGGCTGCTTCCTTGCTCCATACAATTAGTACTAGCAATAGCTATTAAACCATTAACCCCCTCTGAATTTGAGATCTGTTTGAAGAGTCAGCTCTCAGGAAGTCTGACGAAAGGAACCCCAGAAGGAATCCCATCCTGTTATGGTCACTCCAACAGTGCAGGCTTGAAGGGGACAAGCACAGAGCAGACCAGATTTCTCTGGTTCAATAGCTGCTCCTTACGTGGACCAGCAGTTTATGGACACATTCTGCAAAGGATGAAACTCTCCCTCTGCCTCAGTTGCATGCAGCTACTCCCTAGGATGGCATTTTAGTTTCACCCAGCCAGTTTACTTAAAGAAAACTCCCAAGAAAACCCTTTCCTGTTATTGTTTTTCCTGAATTGTTGAAACAGCGAGAAAAAAAACATCAAGCTTTTAACTCACTTGAATTAATAACCCTGTTCTAACAATCCCTCTCCCACACAGAGAGGACACTTGTATTCCGAAGCTGAAGTGCCTGCATGCATCATGTAGCAGGGAGCACAGGAGATGAACAGGTCAGCTTCAGACAAATCACTGTCTAGCCTTTGCAGAACACAGCTTTTCACACCTCCAAGTATAAGCTCAATTATGCCAGCTTTGACTGGCTGAAGAGTCCTGGATGTGCTCAGCTCTGCAATTCATCTGCTGATTGATAAAAGAAATGGACAAAAATACTGCAAATCTTTTAACGAGAAGATTTAGCCAAAACATACAAGTCAAGCCAGTAATCAAATGCTATGTTACCGGAGTGCTAATGTATGCTATCCAAGCCTTATTACTTGTGCTGAATACAAAAGCCAGCAGATAATACACTGCAGAGCTCCAACTCCTACTTTTGCACACAAGCTGAGAAAAATGCCTTCATTTCATCTTACATTATGTCCTTGCCCAGTTCAATCAAGTGAATTGTAGAGCTGATGCTCTTACAGCACATACTTCAGGTAAACAGACCTCAACCAGTCAAGCCATCTCCAACAGCTCAGCGAAATCCCAACAGTGACACGACTCCACACCAGCCACCAAAGCAGCCCAAGCAGGATAAGTAAAACTATGTAGACACAACCACACATCAGAGGGGCACATCTTCCTCTACCTTTGAGGACAGATCCTTACAAGCAAACAAATGAGATATTAATATTCCGTAAGGACAGCTTCCTACCAGTCCTAGTGAGGCACCTTAATACATTATACATCACCTCCACTTCCAGCATTGGTGTTCCAGCAGCAGTTCTTTGAGAAGCGAGAGACAC